AAAGACAGGGTTTCACCATGTTGGCCAGGATGGTTCTATTATTTTTGTTCCTTCTAAATTACATTCACAAAAAACACTTCTGGCAAGGCAAATTACTACCGCAGCTTACCAACATATTATTAACAATGAAAAATGACCATTTTAGCTAATAAAAATCCTAGACTCTGATAAACTACTTCCGTAATGTATATACCTTTTTACTGATTAACTAAATGCAATATGTGACTTACATTAAAACCTACATTTAAACCTAAGAGGCTAACAGACCTAACATTCACATATGAAATTATGTGCTAATACCTCAATATTGCAAACTCAAGATAGTAATTTGTACACTAGATTCAAGCACCTAGATTTACCATGTGAATGTCAAATGATACATCTACTGAGAAGCTTCTGAATCTAATTCATTCATTCGTTCAATTCAGAATCTATCACATTTTAAGTAGCATCCTCAACTAGGGGCAATTCTGCCCCCCAGGAGATTTACAATGTATGGAGACATTTTTATTTGTAACAAGTAAGGTGCAAAAAGAGGGTGCTACTGGTATCTAGTGGGTAGAGTCCAGGGATGCTGCTAAACACCCTACAACGCACAGGACAGCCCCCGATAACACAGAATCAACCAGCCCAAAATGTCAACACCGCCAAGGTCAAGCAACTATGATCTACAGAAAAAAAGTTTTTAAACCCATCTGTCTACAAAACAGTACTGACTTCACCTTTGTTTCCTATATTATTTGCTAATTCCTCTCTTTTCATACTAGTATTTGGCAAACAGGCTTGCCCTATTCCCGTTTTTTTCAATGAGCTTCTAACTTCCAAGCTTGTCAACAGAATCATCATCATTCCAGTTAGCTAGCTTCAAAATCCTGGTGTCATCTTTGAATTATCCCTATTTTTAATATTAACAGTAGTATCAGTAATGGCAGCAGCTAGCACACATTTAGGTCATACTATGTGCCAGGCACTTTTATTTAATACTAGGTATTATTATTATTATTATTTTTTTTTGGGGACGGAGTTTCGCTCTTGTTACCCAGGCTGGAGTGCAATGGCGCGATCTCGGCTCACCGCAACCTCCACCTCCTGGGTTCAGGCAATTCTCCTGCCTCAGCCTCCTGAGTAGCTGGGATTACAGGCACGTGCCACCATGCCCAGCTAATTTTTTGTATTTTTAGTAGAGACGGAGTTTCACCGTGTTGACCAGGATGGTCTCGATCTCTTGACCTCGTGATCCACCCGCCTCGGCCTCCCAAAGTGCTGGGATTACAGGCTTGAGCCACCGCGCCCGGCCCTAGGTATTATTATTATTACTGAGACAGAGCTTTGCTCTTGTTGCCCAGTCTGGAGTGCAATGGCGTAATCTTGGCTCACTGCAACCTCCGCCTCCTGAGTTCAAGCGATTCTTCTTCCTCAGTCTCCCCAGTAGCTGGGATTACAGGCATGTGCCACCACGCCCAGCTAATTTTGTATTTTTAGTAGAGATGGGGTTTCTCCACGTTGGTCAGGCTGGTCTCAAACTACTGACCTCAGGTGATCCGCCCACCACAGTAGCTGGGATAACAGGCGTGAGCCGCCGAGCCCGGCAACACTAGGTATTACTATTATCACCACTTCACAAATGAAGAGTCAAGGCACAGAAAAGCTAAATAACTTGCCCCAGGTCACAAAGTTCATAAGCAGCCAAGCAAGGTTTCAAATCCAGGAAAAATGAGTCAGAGTTCATTCCCTTAACAAATACTCCAAAGTGATCTCTCTTCTTTCATTGTCTATCAAATCATAAAGCCATATAAGCCCCAAAGGGCAGGGACTCTGTTATGTTTACAGGAACATCTCCACAACCCAGTACATAATAGGTGCTCGAAAAACCCCTTGTTTGTTGAATGAATGAAAAGCCCCTTGAAATTACTCCTCCTATTTGCACTGCCACCACTCAAGGCCAGTTATTACTGAAAAAACAGTGCAAATAGGAGGAGTAATTTCAAGAATTTAAATCGAGAACTTCGATTTAAAATAGCCAATCAAGTAAACGGATACAAACTTCTCTGCCAGATTTTTCCATAACCCAGTCCCATCCAGCCCATCAAAATTTTCTTTCTACTGCGTCTTAATTAGAATTATAAAATCTTAAACCCAAAAAGTATCTTAGAGATCATCTAGGTCAATCTCACTTTACAGATAAAGAAACCCAAAAATGGTGACTAAAATCATCCAGCCAGGTGGAGCCAGAAACAGAACTGGACTTTTCCAATTTTTGCTGTAGAATCTTTTTTTTTTTCCAAATCATAATGCTGCTTCATTTCTGACAGATGTCTCCTCACTATCCTATCAACAAATTATGTCTACTCCCATTGTACCTGCTCAAGTTATTTCTCCTGCCCAGCCTGTTCTCTTTTTCCCCTTCCATAGATCCAGATCCTCAAACTGTCTTCCTATTCCATTCTCCATGACTTCTTCTTTCTTGGAAAACCTTATATACTGAATAAGATAGTAGAGGAAGAGGTTCACCATTGTCTACTAGGCCAAGTTTAATGCATAGCAACACCTCCCACAAAGCAAAGCTTACTTGATTTCTTCCCTGTAAACTATTAATCCATTCTTCCCTCTTATGCTCTATGAAGTGATTTTAATAAAGATTAACTCACCTATCACCTTCATATAGTGTTCATATATACCTGAAAGAGACACTCAAGCACATATTTAAAAGTAGACATATGGCCACGTGTGGTGGCTCATGCCTGTAATTCCAGCACTTTGGGAGGCCGATGAGAGTAGATCACGAGGTCAGGCATTCGAGACCAGCCTGGCCAACAAAGTGAAGCCCCATCTCTACTAAAAATACAAAAAATTAGCCAGTGTGGTGGTGGACACCCGTAATCCCAGCTACTCAGAGGCTGAGGCAAGAGAATCGCTTGAATCTGGGAGGCGGAGGTTACAGTGAACCGAGATTGTGTCACTGCGCTCCAGCCCGGCAACAGTGTGAAACTCCATTTCAAAAAAATAAAAAAAAGGTGCTGTGGCTCACGCCTGTAATCCTAGTACTTTGGGAGGCTGAGGTGGGTGGATCACCTGAGGTCAGGAGTTCAAGACCAGCCTGGCCGTCATGGTGAAACCCCACCTTAAAAAAAAAGAAAAAAAATTAGTAGACATGTAAAATTTAATGGTCCAGAATCACCTGTGTCTCCTCCATTAAGAAACAACTCAGCTTATTCACAAAGTCCAACCCAGAACTGACACAACGCACCCAAATAGCCAGACATCTTTGGGTTCCTCTCTTTCTTTGCACGATACCATCTATCACTACTTCTTCCAAAACTCCATCTCTAATGAATAGTTAGTTCAGGCTTCTTTTTCTTCCTCCACTTTCCTAAATTGTGTGGTACAGAACACCCTCTTTCATCCTTTGTTTTCTATATGCATCTCCAGTGAAACTCTGGTTTGCTACCTCTCACCCACTTTCAACTATCCAGTCCTTTCTATAGAATTCACATCCATATCTTCCGCCCCTGTCTGGACTTAGGGTATCTTAACACCTTTGAGACTGATTTTGCCTTTTTTCCCTTCTCTATTCTTCCTTCATCTAGAAAAGTGGTCTCAAAAGAAGCATGAGCAGACCTCTGAGGAAGTGCAAAAGGATCCACTGAGCTGCAGGAAAAAAAAGTTAGAACGCTAATTATATTGTTTTTCATCTTGTTTCTTAAATTCTATTTCTGTGTATGTTTACAAACTGCTTAACACATTAGTACGGTAGTATATGTATATAATAAATATAAATGATTAAAACGTCTAATTTATGTATATAATTTTTACCCATAAGCATGTTTAACAAGAGTTGGGGCCAGACGCAGTGGCTCACGCCTCTAATCCTAGCACTTTGGGAGGCTGAGGCAGGCGGATCACCTGAGGTCAGGAGTTTGAGACCAGCCTGGCCAACATGGCAAAACCCCGTCTCTACTGAAAATACAAAAATCAGCCAGGCGTGGTGGTGCACGCCTGCATTCCCAGCTACCAGAGAGGCTGAGGCAGGAGAATCACTTGAACTCCGGAGGCAGAGGTTGCAGTGAGCCGAGATCTCGCCATTGCACTCCATCCTGGGAACCAAAGCGAGACTCTGCCCCGCCCCACACCCCCCCAAAAAAAGAGTTTGGAGACAACTATTCTAAAAATACATCAAAAATGAGATCAAAATAATAGGTTTCAAACTACATGGAGCATACATACATGTATGCAGGTATATGGGCACGTGGGCACATGCACACACAGTACAAAGGAAAACTTGTTCATATCCTGACTAAAGTGCTAACCATGCCCACCAACCTCTAGCCCCTGCCAGCAATCTCAGAATTGTGTGTCCGACTCAGAAGCATAGTACAGAGGCTTTGGCAAAACCTTTCGTTTCTAGTAAAAACGAAATACAAAGCAAAACAAACCACAAAAGCATGTCAAAAGTGATGACATGCTACCTTCATCTTTCCTACAGAAAGGCATTTCAGGGCACTGTCCACAGTACACTATCCTGACACTGCTCATCACCCGACTTAACATATACCTTACACGCCGCAATCTCCTGAAATTCAGTTCCCACTTCCCAATCCCTTAGGATACAACTCATGTCCTCTTCACTAACAACCGGTTTATGCTCCCACCTCTGGGACTGGGCTCACACCGCCCTTCATCCTTCCTTCCCCTGAAGCTGCCATTCGCTCTCCTTCTCCAGCCGCAGTCCCGTCTCAGAGTAGAGGACAGACCATCCAGGGTCCCCAAGCCCACTTCTCTTTCCTCCTCCGCCCCCGGGAGCTGCCAGCCAGGCTGAAGACGCGAGGGGGGAGGGGTGTGACTCGCCTCCCAAGACTGGACCAGATGGCAGCGGATTCCGCCCCCACTCTCGGGCACCCTCCACCCCCCGACCCCCAAGGCAGCCCGTCCGCCACCCACCCTGCCCAGACCCCACCCCCGGCCTCCCGTTCGCCCTCACGCCGGCTCCCGGACACACTCACCATGCTGGGTGAAGATATTGAAGCCGGTCTCTGTGGTGCGCCCCGCCGGGTCCCGCCTGCGGCTGGAGGGCCTGGCTGCACTGCTGCCCCGGAACCCGCGGGGCTGAGGCTGCTGGAGCCCGGGAGCCTCCCCGACGCGGCCCACCTGCTGCCCCATCCCAGCGCTCGCGTACTCCCGCGCCCCAGCCGACCCCTGGTCACATTCCTCCTCGGCTCCGGCCTCGGGCTCCTGACGCTGCTCCGGCCTCTCCCTCCCAGCCCAGGCCCTGGCCCTGAGGGGCTGGGCTGCTGGCGGCTCGGCACCCGGACTCTTCACGGCAGCAGCCGCGCTGCCTCCAGGCGACTCACAGATTCTCCTTTTCCCTCCTCCTCCCGCCGCTCCGCGCCCCCAACGCCGCCGCCGCCATCTTTAAACCACCGAGCGCTGGGAAAGCGTGGGACAGAGCGTCTCCCGCCCCCCGCCCTCCAGGCACCTCCGCCGCTGGGAAGGAGGGCTTCCCGGCTGCCGCCCCGCCCCGCCCCGCCCCGCCGCGCCACCGCCCCCTCCTCCTCGCAGGGTGGGTCCCCCGTGGGTCCCCCAGTGCCCACCTCATTTGCCGGCCACTGCTGCTTCAGGTCTTTCGTCCTCCGCGTCCCGTAGCCGCACCTCGGCATCCCACCCCTCAATCCGCCTTAGCCGACCCCCTCCCGCATTCCGCTCCGCACGCCACCGCCTTTGGGTTGGTCGGTCTCCGGCCTTCCGCGTCCCACCTCCACCTGTCTAATCAATGAGTTGAGGGCTGAGTGCCCCCGCGTGCGCAGCTCAGGTGCAGGCACAGTTGCGGCAGAGAAGCACGAGGCATTTGTTTGGTCCCTCCCATCCAGTTGAGGAGCTCTAAAATGCCCTGGGGGATCCCTCTTAAACACCCTCGTCAGCAGCAGGCCTACCGTCAAAATTAAAATGGTATAAAATTCACGAGAAGAGAGTAAAATGCTACCTTATTTGATTTTAATTTTTGGAAATTATTTCATGATGTTAAATCGCACTCGCCTGATTGTGTGCCTTCTACAGTCTCATTGGGGACGTAATTGTAGGCCCATTCCTCATATTATATTGCCATTAATTCCTCTTGAACTCCTTTACCATCTCACCACATGTGTGTTTGTTTCCCTTACAATGGCTGACAGTAAATTTAATCATCCCAGTGGCATGCTTTATACACTGTGCACGTGGTCAAGTCTCCTTTTGATGACAAAGGAGAAAAAATGTATGTCTTTGACCCTGTTTATGAGTCAGAACTTATTTATCTTATGCTGTCTAAAGAGAGTGAATGAGGCAGAAGTGTTTTATGCATACATATACATTACCGCATACAATTGACTCGCCATCCCCCTCCCCCACTGTGCTTTCTTGCATCTCTCTCGCTCTCTTTTTTTTTTTTTTTTGGATAGAGTCTCGCTCTGTCGCCAGGCTGGAGTGCAGTGGCGCCATCTCAGCGCACTGCAACCTCCGCCTCCCGGGTTCAAGCCATTCTCCTGCCTCAGCCTCCTGAGTAGCTGGGATTACAGGCGTGCACCATCACGCCTGGCTAATTTTGTATTTTTTAGTAGAGACGGGGTTTCACCGTGTTAGCCAGGATGGTCTCGATGTCCTGCCCTCGTGATCTGCCAGCCTCGGCCTCCCAAAGTGCTGGGATTACAGGGGTAAGCCACGGCATCCGGCCACTTTCTTGCATCTTAATGTTAATTCAGTTTATTTTTAATTCTCAAAAAGCTTGATTATTCTCCTGTTATTCTTTTTCTTTTTTCTTTTTTTTTTTTAATAGAGACGGACTTTCTCCCTGTTGGCCAGGCTGGTCTTGAACCTCCGACCCCAGATGATCAGCCCGCCTCGGCCTCCCAAAGTGCTGGGATTACAGGCGTGAACCACCACGCCCAGCCTCTCCTGTTATTCTTTTGGCTTCCCTATTTGCTTTATAAAAAGTATTGGCTAATGGAGGTACCATACTGAAATTTTGCTTAAATTAGGACGGGAGACATTGCAAAGAAGGAACAAAGCAACCAACCACTGGCGAGGTAGGGTTGGGAGAAGAGGCGGATGTAGCTCTCCTTTGCATATCTTTCCTGAACCAACTTGACCTTAGATGAACCATCCACTGACGTAGATATCCTCTATTATAAAAGCACTATGAAATTATTCCATTGCCATCCAGGGTGTGGCCAGAAATAACTGAAATTACCTCCAAAATGGGAACGGAAACACTATGTGTAAACACTGGATAAAATATGAATTTTCGATTTTGATTAAAGTTTCCCTGTGTTTAAAATACCTTTTTTTCTTCTAATTTCCAGTGTTTGCAACTACTGAAAAAAATTCATTCACAAGGGATAAAAATGTCACAGAGCCAGAATTTATTGTTTGATTTTTATTACGGGAGAAAATTTTAATTTGGGAATAACGGTTTGGTTTCTCTAATTCATGCATGCTGTATAAAAATAGATGAATATATGGGTTGAGCATCTCAAATCAGAAAATCCAGAATGCTGCAAAATTCGAAATTTTTTGAGCACCAACATGATGCCAGAGGTAGAACATTTCACAGGTAATTACTTAACATAAACTTTGTTTCATACACAAAATTTTTAAATTATTGTATTAAATTACATTCAAGCTATGAGTGTAAAGGTGTATATGAAACATAAATTTAAAAAAGATGCCCCATCTACCACGTCAAGTTATGAATTAAAGGAGAAAAAAAAGAGCCGGGCGTGGTGGCTCACACCTGTAATCCTAGCACTTTGGGAGGCCAAGGTGGGTGGATCACCTGAGGTCAGGAGCTCAAGACCAGCCTGGCCATCCTGGTGAAACCCCATCTTTTAAAAAAAAAAAAGAAGAAGAAGAAAGAAAAAGTAAAAACAAAAAAGAGAGGAAAAAAAAAGAAACATAAATGAATTTTGTGTTTAGACTTGGGTCCCATCCCCAAGATATCTCATTATGTCTGTGTAAATATTCCCAAATCTGAAACACTTGTGGTCTGAACATTTCTGATAAGGGATGCTCAGCCTGTAGTAGAGTGCAGGGACTCTGAAGCCAGACTGCTTGGGTTCATAACTTGGCCCTGATACTTATAAACTATTTGATCTGGGCAAAGTACATAACCTTTTTGTGTCTCAGTACGTTATCTGTAAAATGATGATGATAACAAATAGTATCTACCTTATAGGAATGTTGGGAAAATTAAATTAGTGGCCGGTCGTGGTGGCTCACACCCGTAATCCAAGCACTTTGGAGGCCAAGGCGGGCAGATCACCTGAGGTCAGGAGTTCAAGACCAGCCTGACCAACATGGTGAAACCCCATCTTAAAAATAAATAAATAAATTTTTAAAAAATTTTTTAAAAAAGAAAATTAAGTTAGTAAAAAAAATATATATATATACTTAAAACCGTATTTGGCATATAACTGGTGTCATATATGTATATACTATTAATACAAAAAAACATCATGTTTTTAGGTTTTACAAGCCTTTTTCAAATAATATATTTATATACTTAGATCATGGGATAAATTATAAAGTATTTAGGCGAACCCCCTATCTGCCACCCTTCATTTAACTAAAAGCAAAAATGCCAGCCAACCAATAAAAATATGTGGAATCATATAATCCCTTTATTCGTCATACCTGCCTGGTTAACACCAGCTAAGTGTACGTGAACTATTACATAATACCTTTGTTTTACATATGAAGATTTCCTCTACCACTGATTCTTAAGATCCTATATAGACTTAAGCAAATATCATGTAAGTGGAGACTTCGTTTACTTGCATTACCTTGTCAATGTTTCTACTCTTTCATTTTCAAAGTGAAAAAAAGAACTTTCAGAATAGGGGGAGTGGGGAAATAGACTAGAGAAACTTAGTTAATTAGGTGCAGAAAACTATTTCACCTCAATATAACCAAGCCAAAGTGACTTGCCTGAGAATTACCTGAGGTTCATTATCATTAGCAGCAGTTACTGTCACAAATCAACATCTAAAATAATCCCAAATTGTTCTGTCTCATACTGAATTGAGGGTAGCTGAGAGCTCCAGGCAGGGGCAGAAAAATCAGGGAAAGAAAGTAGCAGGGATGGTGCACATAGCACAGGGACAACCTTAGGTGAGCAATGGCCAGGAGCTGACATAAAAGATCAGACACATCACCAACAGCAACAAGGCACGCTGAAGACACAGATACCTCATCCTCATCATCCGTATTATAGGAGCAATACCACTCTTTACAGAAGGAGGGAGCTTGTGAGTAATGCCTCACTAATTCCTGACTTCACTGGTCTGCATTTCTAGGCTACTGCCATATTTTTTACAGTTTTTACAACATCTCTCATCTCGACCTTTTCTCTTCATCTGTATAACAGCATTATATAAGACACAGTGTTAGCTTAGGCTCAGGTCATCTCTGTGCTGGTTTCTTCTGCAACTAGCTGTTTCTTCCTAGAGATTCCTCATCTTTGGCACCAAGCAACTCACTAACAGAAACCACTTCCTCATTGCTTTGACCACACTTTCCCTCTCCTTCATTATGTACAAAGTCTAAGTCTAAAATTTTCACCTAATGGGCCGGGCATGGTGGCTCACATCTGTAATCCCAGCACTTTGGGAGGCCAAGGTGGACGGATCACTTGAAGTCAGAAGTTCGAGACCAGCCAGGCCTGTACGGTGAAACCCCGTCTCTACAAAAAATGCAAAATCTAGCCAGGCATGGTGGCGCACGCCTGTAATCCCAGCTATTCAAGAGGCTGAGGCAGGAGAATCACTTGAGCCCGGGAGGCGGAAGTTGCAGTGAGCTGAGACTGCGCCACTGCACCCCAGTCTGGGTGACAGAGCAGTTCTGTCTCAAAAAAATAAAATAAAATAAAATAAACATTTCACCTAACATTTCAAAGTTATTTTCCAGGATAGCCTGAATTATAATTGCCTAATGTTCTTCCATCTCCTGTTCCTCCAACTTCCACCCATTCTATGGCAGGCATACATGCTTTATCCAATTAGCTCATTTCTTAGATGTATCCCATTTAGCTATGACTTTGGCAATAATTCTCCCTGGTATAAGTCTTGGGTGACTCCCCTTATAGGATTCTACTATGCCCTTCAGGATTCTATTCAGATCCTGCCTCCTTGATAAGAGAACCTCAGGCTTATTAATACAGACCTAACAGTTTCTTTGGACTCTACTCAGTACAGACCTCAAACAACCACAGCTGGTGATAATTCTTTCATTATAAAATTCACTTACCTTCCTCTACATCCCTCAAATATGTTTTGTTTTGACACATGACTCAGTGTCATAGAGTTGGAAAGAGACTTAGAGGTCATCTAGGCTAATCCCCTGGAATCCACTCTTCAGTAATTCCAGTGAGGGTATCCATTTCTTTCGAAGGGTTCTAATT